TGTAAGTACACCACATCTTAACCTCTACAAGTCGAATCAAAACCCTCCACAAGTAGAAAACTCTATAACTCAAATTTTTTGACGTCTCCCTTAATGTTCGAGTAATAGATGTTCTACTGTATTTCATATTTCTTAAAATATTTACTCATTCGTTTGACCGTACATTTTTGTTGCTAATTAAAGTTATCTTTTAGTGGACACTATCAACGGATTACTACTTGTGGAGACCAAAACAAACAAATTTCTTTTGTTTTAATGACCTCATTCTACGCTAATGTGTGCCACGTAACTACTCATATACCAATGAAGCTTTCTAAGCAATAAATTAGCAACTCAAGCTTCTGTTCGGGGGCGTGAAGTGTAGTTGAGCGATCGGTTTATTCTCAGAGCGAGCAGCTGAACAATCTCGTATTAGTTACATCTATTAAAGCGTGCGGAACAACTCAAGTGAACGCTTAATCAATCCCTTCGAGGGCAGAACAAACATATCGCACACCCGACATAAACACCTAAAGATCTCTCGATATCATAAAAATATACGTTAATATATTTTTGTTCTGCAGCGCGCTCCGTTCGTTTTATTATTTGTACAAGTTCACGAGCTGGTTGGTTGCTGTTGAAATTATATTGTAGTTCTCGCTTTCGGGGAACTGGAATAAAGCTTTGCGTAAAGCTCGTCTATATACGCCGACAAACACTTCTTATTGGACGGGAGAAACGACGGCAAGTGTTTACTCTACATCGTATTCAGTAAAACTAATAGCCGTATGGAAACATTGAAACGCGAAAGCCGTGTTGAAACAAAGTTGTTGTTGTTGTTAATTGTCTTAAGAAACTGTCGCAAGTGCGCCATATAGAAGAATGAAAAGGGGAAAATGACAGAAGTAATAAAACGATAAATAATAATTAAAAGGACTAATTAAATGCTTGACTTTTAACGTTCTTGAAGGCATTTTATTAATAAAAACCCCGGAAAAATATTTTCTTATTGGTTCCTGACAAAAGCCAATAACTGTTAAAGATGCCTTAAGGCAGCTGTAGAACCTTACGATACGAAGCTGTAGGAGGTGCAGGTATGAGTGTTCAATTTAATTTAGCTCCGAAGCACATTATATGCATGGGGCTTACATGGACAAGATTCGGTTACTTATATCACTTTTGTTAATTTATATCATTATTTACTACTATTAGTTCGCCCACTGTTTATATCGCCTGTCCTGCGTCGATCATGTCCCGTCGAACATTGGTCACCCATTTATATTGTCATGGAATGTTCGTGAATATTTTTCCGGAAACTTACCGTCATTTCGTATTTGTTTCCTAGTCTGTTCGCCAGACGGTATTCGACTGCATGTTGTCGTCTCGATCGCCACCTACGGTATTCGTGAGGTAACTTGGTACAGTACGGTACAGTGTTATCGTAGAGACATTGTCAATTTTTAGTAGTTTTAAATAGGAAATAAAAGTAACTGCAGTATTACCTATATTTGAAATCGTAAATTAACTCACCCGAGATAAAAATGTTCAGTCTCTCAGAGTCTCTTAAAGTGAGACTCCAGTCTTCGTCTCTCATCGAGTCTCTTTGATATCGCTGAGAGAGACTGTCGAGAGACTGTCAAAAAAACTTTTTAGCGTCTCTGAACGAGAGACTTGAGTCGCTCATAGAGAGATCCTAAGTTCACATCCAGTCTCTGAACGAGAGACTCGAATCTCTCAATAAGTGGTGTCTCGGTAGACATGGCTAAAATTTTCCAAGTTTAACATATTTCAGAGATCCCAGTCTTTCTACGAGAGACTCGAATCTCTGAATTAACAATTTTATCGTTTGAGTCTCTCATACAGAGACTCTGAGAGATCCATAAAAATACCTAAGCAATAACTGAGAGACTGTGAAAGACTGTGAGAGACGCTCTCAGAGACGCTGAAAGACTCTGAGAGACTGGAGAGAGACTTAAAAGTTTTGTCTAGGGTCATCTATAGAAAATAAATTTCTGAATGTTTCTTTTTTTTGTTAAACCACCCTTAAATTCAAGTTTCCCTTTTGTCAATTCAGTAATATGTTGTCGCAATCCTCTGCACATCAAAAGGTCAAACATTTTGACTTATTCTTCTATAGTTACTTGTTACATACATACATATACATATACATATATATATGTATGTACAGAGGGTTACCCAATGAAATGTTTACACTATAAAGCTGTTTATACTAGTACACTAGCGTGGAAAGTCAATTATTTAATCAGTGCAGCAAGCAGCGGTAATTAATCAATTCAAAGTACCCTATCCACCTGCTCATTTCAGTTACGATATAACGAAATTTATTTTAAATTAGTTTCTAACCCGTTTAGCTAATGTACATTTCCATAAAGCCACATTTATTTATACATATTACTATTATTACTTACTACTAGCTTTGCACTACAATTATTATAAAATCTATACGTCATCAGCCTGGAGACTGATTTGATTCGTACCTCCTTTTCTTGCTATCCTGAGCTAATAGTTGATTGTCGCATTCCCTAAAAACTAAGGTATCTCACTTCCTCTAAAATATTCGAAATGGTCTTTATTCTGTCGAAACTGCCAGACGCGGATCGCGATTTCGATCTTTTTAGATCTCATCAGCGCGTCGCAGGCAGCTCCGACAGAACACAGACCAACTTTTACCTACTGTTTTAAGTGCGTTTTAGAAAATACTACAAATGGAGCAGTAAACGCCATCTGTAGCACGATGCTACATTTCGGATTATTTTATTCGATTAAGCTAACGTGCCTATCACGTTGAGGTTGGTTACGCCGGGATTCGTTTTCAGCAAGTAGATATCCACACAAGTGGACCTTGTTGGAGCATACGTAATCCTAAAATGTAGCATCGTGCTACAGGTGGCGTTTACTGCGCCATTTGTAGTATTTTCTAAAAAGTCTTCCTCTGTTTCTTTGTACTCCTGCTCATTTCTAATCTTTTATACATCCAGTTTCCTATGTGATACTCCACGAATCCAAGATTTCTTTCTCATCTACATCATCTTCTTTATATCATCATCGTCATCACAAGGTCATCAGTCTGGAGACTGATTGGATTCGCACCTCCTTTTTTTGCTATCTTGAGTTGAAAAATAATTGTCGCATTCCCGAAAAACTAGGGCATCTCACATTCTTAACAAGTGTTCCTTTGCCTCTTTGTAATTCTGTTCATTTCTAAATTTTCGGTTGATCGTCCTATGAGATGCTCCATGAATCTAATATTCCTTTTTCATCTTCATCATTTTCTTTATATCGTCATCGTCTTCACAAGGTCATCAGTCTGGAGACTGATTGGATTCGTACCTCCTATCCTGAGCTAATATTCGTCGAATTCCCTGAAAACTAGGACATCTCACATTCTTATCAAGTCTTCCTGTGCCTCTCTCTACTCCTGCTCATTTCTAACCTTTTATACCGTTCAGTTTCGGCTGATCGCCCCATGTGATTCTCCATGAATCCAAGATTCCCATCTTCATCATTTTCTTTGTATCATCATCGTCAGCACAAGGTCATCAGTCTGGAGACTGATTAGATTTTCACCCCCTATTCTGAGCTAATAAATAATGCTCGCACTAAAAACTAAGGTATCTCACATTCTTAACAAGTCTTTCTCTAAAATATTCGAAATGGTCTGTATTCTGTCGAAACTGCCAGACGCGGATCGCGATTTCGATCTTTTTGGATCTCATCAGCGCGTCGCAGGCAGCTCCGACAGAACACAGACCAACTTTTACCTGCTGTCTTAACAGTGCGTTTTAGAAAATACTACAAATGGCGCAGTAAACGTCATCTGTAGCACGATGCTACATTTCGAATTATTTTATTCGATTAAGCTAGCGTGTCTATCACGTTGAGGTTGGCTACGCCGGGATTCGTTTTTAGCAAGTAGATATCCACACAAGTGGACCTTGTTGGAGCATACGTAATCCTAAAATGTAGCATCGTGCTACAGGTGGCATTTACTGCGCCATTTGTAGTATTTTCTAAAAAGTCTTCCTCTGTTTCTTTGTACTCCTGCTCATTTCTAATCTTTTATACATCCAGTTTCCTATGTGATACTCCACGAATCCAAGATTTCTTTCTCATCTACATCATCTTCTTTATATCATCATCGTCATCACAAGGTCATCAGTTTGGAGACTGGTTGGATTTGCATCTCCTTTTCCTCCTATCCTGAGCTAATAAATAATTGTCGCACCAAAAACTAGGTCATCTCACATTCTTAATAAGTCTTTCTCTTCCTCTTTGTACACTTGCTCATTTCTAAGCTTTTATACCGTCCAGCTTCGATTGATCGCCCCACGTGATGCTTCACGAATTCAAGATTCTTTCCTCATCTTCTTTCGATTATCATCAACATCACAAGGTCATTAGTCCGGAAATTGATTGGATTCGCACCTCCTATCCAGAGCTAATAATCGTCGCATCTATTACTCTTAAAGATATATAATTGAAACTATCCTAAACAAAAGAAGCTGGTGGGTGGTTTTTACGTAATATTTCACTTTAAGCATTACGCAAAAAAAGGTACGCCCGAAACAATTGATTTTTCCAGTTTTGTTGAGAATGATGATCATAATTCCAATCCCTTAAATGAAAATTATAGAACGACGTTCGCAGCCCCAATATACTCCGCGACGTGCAAATGACACAGCTTACTCAACTACAATTGTTTACGTCGAGATGATTCATAGTTTCATTGTTTCTGTCTACATCCACCCACTCCTATAATCACACCCTTCCTACGCTTACAAATATAGACATTGTTTTGATTGATATTTCAGTAAGGTAAAGAACGTCGAAAATATGAGAAGGAACCCTTACTGCAAAGAATATTCTGACCACTTACCGTACATGCGACACAATACAACATCAAGAATATCATTCCCTTGACCTATCGAATTTCATTTTTAACAATTCGCTGTGCTTTATACGTGTATGTTATAAAGTGAAGTATTGTTTTTCCTTTTCAGAAAACGACCTCGGAGATAAAGAGTACGATTTGCTGGGATTGCTGAGAACTGATTTTGTCGAATCAAAAACGCAGTACATAACGACAGGACCAGATGATTTTCCGGTTTTCGGACTACGTCCAGGGTCGGATTTTAAGGCGCCCTATCGATTTTACTTGCCGGAACGTATATTACCGCATTTTTCTATCCTCGTTGGAGTTAAACCCAATTCCCACGGGCAAGCATATGTTTTCGCCGTCGTACATCCGAAAGAAACTAAGGTTAGTGTATATATGAACCACATACAAATATATTTTTGAATAATTAAACTATTATGTTATGTACAAGGTGCATTAATAAACATACCCTGACAGTATTGAAAGTTACGAAAAATTTCTATCTCTATTTATTATTTTTAAAAGATAGGCATAAATACCTTATACAGAGATTACTTGAAAAAGGATAAGGTGGTTAATAAAGTTACACATTAATAGAAATGATTTCTTTTAAAAGTAATTTTATTGAGTTGCATTCTCAATAATTTACTCTATAGGTATGTTTAATTTCTCTATTGGGTAAATATTCCATCTCATCAGTATAATTGTTAGAATCCTCTTATTATTTTATAATAAAATTAAGAGAAGACAAATTACTTTAAATTAAGTAATAAATAATTAGATCCTGTTTCGTGTCCTCGCTTCGTGTAAACAAGAAACTTACGAGAACATTTTTACTGAAAACGGTATTTAGCTAATCATGAACTTTTATGAAAAACTCAATTATAAACCAATAATGTCGTTAAACAGCATTAATGGCACATTAGCATTAATAATAAATTAAACCTCTTTGTCAATATGAAATCATTAAAACATGCTGATCCTTTAACAAGTACGATGCCCTGTCATAAAATTAATGAGCGTTTTGGTGGTAGCAATTAAATGAATAAAAATACTTGATATATTCGATTATTTACTACACTCAATGCTCAATAAATATTCATCATTGAAATACGCAGTTAAAGAGAAGCAAAGTTAATGTGAACAAATGTTACTGTTTATAAAAGATTCGTTATATAAAATTAATAATAAACTAAAAGCTGGATAAAATAAAAAACAATTGTGTGGTTTTATGAAACCACGATGCAAGTGAAACTTTTCCGATTGTAGGCGTTTAACTGTAAATTTTCGAAAAATTCGATTTAGGGTATTAAAATTAAAATCGCTTTCTTAATCTTATCTTAATGATTGGAAAATGGGAATGATAATGGGAAATCAATAGTAGACAAGATCTCCAACTATAAATTTTAATTTCAATCTGCGTATGAGAGTACGGAATACATAATAAATACAATTATTATTGAGATGATAGACGCATGTTAAAAACTGAGAACAATATTTATTTAAATCATTGAATCATCTTTAACTTCAGTTATTCTATCAATAATTTCATTTTCGCTTTGAGTTTCACAGTCTACAAATGTAACTGTCATGCACTTACACGAATGAGTGAGAATATAAATGCTACACGGTTAGCTCATGCGGGCCATGGCATTGGCTGTTCTGCCGAGAGCTTTTCAGTTTCACCCCTACTCCGCGGCCGGCTGTAATGCCACATGCGACAGATGGACGAAAAAATTTGAGGCGATGTAATAAAAGTTTGATTTTAATAAATTATTTCTGTTATTCAAAATATATGCGCAAACGATGACACAGGTCAACGAAATCCGAGGTTGAAAATGAAAACAACAAAGTGGTAGATGTTATCTTTTCATTCTAATTAACGAGAAGTAGAAAAAAAAGATTTTGTCTAAATATTTTCTTTATATTTCAGGTACATTTCGGTATAAAATTAACACCGGTCGAAGAGCAAACGAACATCTCCCTTATTTATACGTATCCTAATCAATATGAGTCCCAATCTATAGCCGATTTCCTAGTTCCTAAATTTGACAATACATGGACCAAATTTGCGTTCCAAGTTACACCACATAATGTGACCCTGCATCTTAACTGCAAAAAAGAAGCGACAGTCGAATTAACCGAAGAACTCCAGCCACTTACTTTCAACTCAACATCGACATTCTACGTAGGACAAGCAGGTCCTAAATTAAATGCAGCGTATGATGTAAGTCACAATTCTTCTTTATTTTGTCATCAGATATAGCAATATTGATAAGGTTACAATAAATCCGATAAATTAAAATTTTACGACATGTTCGGGTAATAGGGGGAATTACGTTTCTAAACGGACGGACAGCCCCTTAGGAGCAACACACGGGTGAAACTGCCTTATCTTTCAAATTACGTCATCGAGTTTGTGGTCATTAATGTATAGAAATGTAAGTCTTGGTATACTTAATTGAAGCAGACAATATCTAGATTAAAATAATTCGAAGTGGTCTGTATTCTGTCGAATCTGCCTTTTTGGATCTCATCAGCGCGTAGCAGGCAGCTCCGACAGAACACAGACCAACTTTTACCTGCTGTCTTAATAGTGCGTTTTAGAAAATACCACAAATGGCGTAGTAAACGCCATCTGTAGCACGACGCTTACGTAATCCTAAAATGTAGCATCGTGCTACAGATGGCGTTTACTGCGCCATTTGTAGTATTTTCTAAAATATATCTAGATTAATTCTCATTATTTCAAAAAAAGGTTTACGCAAAAGTTGTATGCATGCACTTGGGGACATTGAGTATCTTGATTTTGACCTTCGAGATATTAAAAGATCATGCCGTTTTTTTTGTGGGAATACATATTTTTGACATCACCAATCACCAACCACCAGAAACTTAACAATCAAAAATTTCCTAGAAAGTCATTTGCTCTTTATTTTTTACATTTCCTTTTGTTCCAAATCCCGTGTCCGCCCTTCAGGAATTCTACATTTCTCTAAATCATTGTCTAATTGACGTAATTTTAAAAAACATATAGGGCACTGGCACCCATTGTATCTACCCCTTATTCTTAGAGGGTTGTCCGTCCACTTTTCTTACCAAATTTTAAAAAACTCCAGTTAATCTAAATAACGTACAAGAATTTTTATAAATACTATACATATATCAATAGTAAACTGTTGTTAATAATTTGTGTAACTTATTTTCGTAATGCAAAAAGGCAAGATTATCTCGTCAAAACCTTTTGATGTAATAGATTCTAACATAAAATCAAAATATTCTACACATCTCTACATTTACAGTGTTTTTTTAAATCAAATGTATTCATTTTAACTATTTTCATCCCAAGATCGTGAGGACGGCACCAATTATTAACAAGCTCTTCATGTGAAGGAGCTCATAACCTAAAAGTTTTAAATCCCATGACAAAATAACGTAAGTTACTTAATGTACGAGCTTATAGAGGTGGTTTGGTTAACCCCCCCCCCCTAAATAAAACATCTTGCATCCACCTAGTTACGAAACTTATAGTCTTCAACTGTAATGCCTTCAAATTCTTATTCTACTGAAAATATAACAAACGATTGGTTTAAATGTGGGATCGGCGATGCTTGTTTTCTTAAAATTTGATCTCTATGTCACTTTTTGCATTATTCATGAAAATTTCCATATAATTACGTCTCACATTAAATTCGCCGGCAATTTGTCTCGCATTTTTCCTAAGGAAAATGCGAGTAAAAGGCGTCACGCAAGCAAATCTTCTATCGGCGTACGGCTTTGGCTCCTACCCAGGGTCTTTATCGTGTCATTCGTGGAACCCTTGGGAAGTTGACTGATCGATCTCCGCCAAAATCGGTTTAAAATGTACCTCGAAACCACATTCACTGACTTTGTTCCGCACACGTCCCAAAGGAATCGACAGAAACCGATTTAGACGTCGTCACAATTGCTGTTGAATACCAAAAAAAATTGTCGGAATCGATCTTCCTTAAGTCCTTCATCGGAATTTATACACGCGTATTTAACATCCTCAAAGCGGCCATATTCGTCGACAAACGAAAAATATTTCTTTCCTTTCACGCAAATAAAGCTACTCAATTAGGACTATTTAACGAATCCTTGCTTTAAATAAGCCACTTCGAAAAAAAAAAAAGGATCATATCACTCCGAGATTTCGTAGTCGATTTAATTCTTACTTTCGAATTGGTCCCATATAACTTTCAGGAAAATTGACTCAATAATTTTCTTCCACATGCATTAACCAAGGCATGATAACTTAATACAGTAATTTTATAGCTACTAAATATAAAAAAAAATTAAACGACAAACTAGACATAATATCCTCCACGCAGTGTTTTAAACACGTCGTTTTTGAGTTTTCCTGCTAAGACCAAGCTGACAAAATCACAGGGATTATAAACGAAATGGTTGACACCGCTGACGTTTAAAGGCAAAAGTTCCTAAAATAAAAATATATATACGTTGGGTACGGTTTCTTTTAATGTGTTGCCGTAAATGTTTCTCTTAATATCGCATACTAAACGAATAATTTGTCTTGATTATTCATACTATAAAAAACAGCTTGATGTCCTAATTCAAATATAGAAGCACCTACTTCTAAATTATCTTTCACTGTTTTTGTAATCCGACTATTACGAAAAAACATAAGCTACTGTATAAGGGGACAATTAGTGGCTTTTGTTTAATAACAATTGAAGCTTACCCTTAAGATTGGACAAAACTACTTTCCCAAATACAATCGGATCATATTTCAAAGCGGATAAAGCAGGTTTTATCTAATTGGTAAAAATTTCCTTAGTAAATGCTTTAACTACCACACTAGAATCTCCTTTTGTTGCTTCAGTCTAGTCCGATGTCCGACTTATTACTCGCGTTTGGTGGCCTTCGGGTACACCAAACATGCGACCGGTATCGATCGCCTGCGGCGTTCGTTCATGACAATAGCATTAATCGAAGACATTTTATGTTTTGTTTATATTCTAAATTTCGCAAATCATTAATGTTCGATAGAAATACGTCCCTGATACTTTATGTTTCTGCCATTCATGTCAAATATTTAGCTACTCGTCTTAGGCTTTGACCAAAAATTTACATGAAGGTTCTAAACATATGTAAAATTAATGAGAGTAATAAGTAGCAACTGAATACGAATACCCTGCGTTCGTTTAGCCAATTCAGCTGTACACGTGTGGATCGTAAAAAAAACATTTGCCAACAATTCGGGGGCACTCGAGATGAAAGGAAAAGTCATAATGGTTTTTTTCCATTCCGGATACAAATGGGAACATATATTAAATTTTATATTCATGTCTTGTATCATTTATGGTGTGTGCTGATGTTGTGTAAAAAGGCAAAGCAAAGGGGTGGGTTCGGTAAAAAAAAAAGTCGTAATGGAATCACATTAAAGATTCTTCGTCTTTTTTGCTCGTTCTTTGTAACGCGCACGGAAAAACTTCGAGAATGATAGACAGCAGAAGCAACGGTCGAAAAGTTTTAAACAGATTAGACGAAGAAAGAGGCTCTTTGAGTGAAACGATCTTATACACAACGACGTACGTGTATGCATTTACTTACGGCATGACTTTTTATCGGATAAAATATCTGAAACGTCCATTTCAGGAAGCTTAAGAAGATGAAAACGGCTTTAGTTTAGGTACCATCCAACTTGCTCTAGCGTTAAAGCTTCGTATCTCCCCGAATCCCTATAATTTCACTTGACATACAAAAATGGAACGAACTTTTACAGTCACTACCTACTTTAATTCGTCCAGATGTCTTATAGCTATTATTGTGTTAACCACAGACCACTGTGACATATCTACGACATTACCTCAGCTCAAATCATAATAAAGTAAACTTATATTTTTTATGGATACTTGACACTAAAAATAAACGTCGAAGGAAAGACTGTTATGGACAAAACTTGTAGGTCAAGTACACTCTAACTATATTGGTCAAGTAGGCAGAAATTTTAGAATACGATTAAAAGAACATAAGAAAAATCAAAAATAAAAAACATGATCATCATCGTCATAAGGTCGTCAGTCTGGTTGGACACACACGTCCCCTCTTTCCTATCCTGAGCTAATCTTCGCATTTACCTAAAACTAGAACAACCCACATCCTAATCTATTTGCGAACAGTGATCTAATCCAAGTCTACTCTACTTAACTCCTGTTTCTGTCTCTAATAAGTCTCCGACCACACCTTCATGCCTGAGAAGATGTCCTACCAACCTATCTCGCCTATTTTTTAGTGAGTTCCATAGAGTCCCCTGTTCTACTTTCTTTCTAATACCTCTTCATTTCTAACCTTCTCTATCCACGGTATCCTCTTCATTCGCGTGTAGCAACACATTTAGAACGCTTCTAACCCTTTCTTTTCCGCCGCGACCACGTTCCATGGTTCGCACCCGTACAACGACGCGCTCCAAACATTATTTTTCGAATTTTTAAATTAACCGTTCATGAGCATAGAAGTGACTTCTTTTTATTGAAGGCGACTCGACCCAAATACATCAGCATTATATATATAATTGCCTAGAAAATAATCACAAAATTTGTAATATTGAAGTAAAAATTCTACACATAGAAAATAAAGGCAAAATCTGAACGTTCTAGAATGTAGGACATAAAAAAGCTTTTATAAACAAAAATAATACATATAACGAACAATAAATTAGAGCTCGAAAGGCTCCCCTAAGTAAGTTTATTATATTTTTCACACTCAATCGCCGCGACCGTGAATTGTTTTGTTTAAAAATTCAAGGGGGTGCAATTGCTCACTTGTTAACGATATTTATAGAGCAACAACGTATAAAAACAATACAATAGAGGATGTTTATGTTATAGGCGATTTTGATAGGAACGATATTGTTTGACAAAATTCTCGAACTGCCTCAATGTCAGTTTTTGTATTTCTCGAAGAATCTCAATAACATCTCATGTTACCATTATTATCAGTGTTATTTCAAACGTCTGGCAAAGGGCTATTTGTCACAGTCCTTTCTTTCCCGACTTATTGTTTTCTTTTCATCGACGCGAGAAAAAAGAGCGCACGTTGTCAACAACTTCCGCGTAGCCCCAACATATAGATCTAGACTTATTTTTCTCTGGAACAAAATTGCGGTAAAAGCTCGAAGATATTGGGGTCAGACTTTTAAGGATGTGAAAGATTAATATTTTTTGTTGTCGTATACGAGGGTGG